GCAGCGCCAGTTCGATCCCTGGCCACCGGCGAGGGTCCCACAAAATAAATAAATAAATAGATAGATAGATAGATAAATAAAAATTTCACTTAGCCCTTAAAAAAGAAAAAAAGGTGCATTATTTGCCTATGTTTATAGCAGCACTATTTACAATAGCTAAGCTATGGAAACAACCCAAATGCCCAAAAACAGATGACTGGATCAAGAAGATGTGGTACATATACACCATGGAATATTTCTCAGCAATCAAACAAGATAAACACATGCAGTTTGCAGCAACATGGATGGAGCTAGAAGGGATCATGCTCAGCGAAATAAGTCAGAAAGAAAAAGAAAAATACCGGATGGTCTCACTCATAGCAGGAATCTAGAAAACCTAAATAAGAGACCAGGAAAAAGACTAATCAATGCAAAGTAATAATCAAAATCAACAAGCAACTATAAACTAGAGACACACTACTGGGGGGGGGGATTAGGGAGGGGTGAGAAGAGGAAGAACTAGAGTCAAAATAAGGGGGGGTGCAATTGTATGGGGAATATAACCAAAATGAAAATGCATACATTGTACGAAGATGAAAAATGATGTAAGAATAATATAAAATAAAATATTTTAAAAATGGTGCATTATTTCATTTATTAAATTTATTAAAAATCACATTATTTATTAAACTTATATATTATTTATTAAATTAATTAAAAAGCTTATTAACAACAAAAAAGATAATGCTTTCCACTACCTACCAAACAAGCTAGGTTTTGAGTAGACCTTTTCCTTACACCCAAGAGACCTCATACAGAGGAAACAGAGTCATAAAGTGGATAGTTTCTCAACCACAGTCCCCATAAATTCAAAAGGGAGTCTCTTATAAAATCCTTTGGTGTAGGCCTAAATACAGATTCACACATCTACTAACATCTTGAGACTCCCACGGTCTGGTAAAAGGTAAAACTTTAAAATATCTAGAGGAATGTTTCCTTGGCCTTTCAAGTTAGCCCATATAAATACTTCTTCAAAACTTCTGATACATGTTAGAGAGTTTAAAACTGTCATTTCTGGAAAGACTGTGAAGGGTGAATATTTTAAATTGTTAATTAAAGGAAAAGACAAGGTAGGGCCAGGGTAGAGTTAAGATTCTTTGAAAATTACGGCGTCTAACCAAAACCTACTCTACATGGCAGTGGGATGAAAGATTAAACTATGAGTGGGTCGAAATAACCCCTAACAAACAGTCCTGAGGCCTGTTCTGACACACCGAGGAGCAGGCATTGAGATCCACAGTTCTATACTGTAGCATAAGGCCATAATGATTTTAGCTTGGAAAATTTTCAAAGCAGATGTTAGCAATCACCCACCCTGGGCACTGAAAAAAAATCTCAATACAATACACATAGCATTTCTAATTTTAAGCACTGTAGGTTCTGGTCAAACACTTCAAGATGAATTAGTTGCAAATCATATTCTCAGATAGTGAAATGATTTGACCAGAGGTTGGAAATTGTTGGATAGAAGCCACATGAAAGACAGAGCACATCTGTCAAGAATGACGAATTTGATTTAGAGTAGTTCTTTCTTTCTGGCAACATTTAGAGGAGGGTCACTTTTTTTTTTTTTTAAGAACACTTTGAGTATATGATAGAAAAGTCTTTGGAATGGTTGGGCTAGGTCATCCTAAGAGGCGCACCATTCAAGAGGGCTACCTGCAGTGGGAGGACACGCCATGAGAAGCCCACTTGGAAAGTGGGAACTGAAAGAAAGGTTGTCAGGTAACTTCAGCAGGAGGAGACATCCCTGGGACAAGAAGCCCCATGCAGGAGAAGCAGGGAGCATCTGGAATCTACTGCACCTACTGGTACCAGGGTCCTATCAAAACTCTACCAATTGCTCTTGTGCACTGCCCGGATGCCACTCCATGACCACAGAACTCATTGCCCAGCTCACATTGTATGTTTCCCTAGGATGGCTTTTGGCAGAAAATTACGTCCTCTGCCCCGAGCAGCCTGAACCCAACTTCTTTTATATACCCTGTGTCCGCACCCTGTGGTATACCTGAAGACCACTCCAGCTTCAGAAACTCCCATAGGAGAGGCTGAGACTTCCGTGGCAACTGCATTGCACTATCTTCTCCTACTGCACATGGACACAACATCTCACTCTAAATTTTAAAGGATCCCTCGAGGACGTCCAGAAAGTGGACTAAAGGTTAAGAATCTCTATATGACAGGACAGAAGGATGACAAGGCCCCTGATACAGTGAACTAATTCTATCAGCAAGTGGGAGTTACTGGCAACAAAGATACAGAAAGCTTGGGAGAAAATGACCATGGTCTTTTATATACATAATATAAATTAAAGACATTTAAATGAATATATACCCAAATTAATTATATAAACATTTAATATGTTTAATTGAAAGAAAATTCCCATAACACAAAATTAACTATGAAAGTGTACAAATGAGGGGCCTTTAGTGTATTCACAAGATTATGCAATCTATCTAGTTACAAGCACCTCTATCTAGTTACAAGAAATTTTCATTACCCTAAAAATAAACCCTCTACTCATTCAGCAGTCACTCGCTAGCAGCTCTTCTCCATCCCCCAACAACCACTAGTCTGCTTTCTGTCTTTATAGATGTATCTACTCTGGATATTTCCTATATATGGAATCATATAATATGTGACCTTTTGTGTCTGGATTATTTCACACAGCATAATGCTTTCCATGTTCACCTGCGTTGTGTATGTATCAGTGCTTTTAATCTTCGTGCTTCTGAATAACATCCAGTTGTAAGAGTGTTTGTTTGTCCATTCATCGGTTGATGGACATTGGACTATTTCCACCTTTTGGTTATTGTGAATAGTACTATGAACATTTGTGTGAAAGCATTTGTTTAAATAGCAGTTTTAAGTTTTTTGGGGTATATATTAGAAGTGGAATTGTTGGATGACTTGGTAATTCAATGTTTAACTTTTTGAGGAAACTGCTAAACTGTTTTCCATAGTCAGTGACCATTTTACATTCCTACCAGCAATCAATGAGGGCTCTTATTTCTCTCAATCCTCAGCAACTCGTGCTATTTCTGTTTATTTTCTATGGCCATCCTTGCGGATGTGAAGCAGTATCTCACAAGCTTTTGATTCAAATTTTCTTAATGACGAATGTTATTAAGCATCTTTTCTTGTGCTTATATATTGAGGGAAAAAGCTATTCAAGTCTTCTGTCCATTTTTAAAATGGGTTGTTTGTATTTTGTTGTTGAATTGTAAGACTTTCCTACATATTCTGAATACTAGACCCTGTCAGATATATGATTTGAAAATATTTTCTCCCATTCTGTGGGTTGTCTTTTAATTCTCAAGATAGTATCATTTGATGTATAAAACTTTGAAAAAGTCTAATTTATGTACTTTTTTGGGCTTCTCTTTGGTGTCACATCTAACAAACCACTGCTAAATCCAAGGTCATTTTCTTCTAAAAGTTTTATAGCTTAGGGTTTTGATCCATTTTGAGTTCATTTTTGTATATGGTATTAGGTAAGGATCCAGCATCATTATTTTTCATATGGGTATTCAGTTCTCTCAGTAACACTGTTGAAGATATTGGACCATGTCGCTAAGCAGATGTAATAGGACAATTTTTTTTATTTTTATATATATATTTTTTTTGTGGGATGCTCGCCGGTGGCCAGGGAACAAGCCGGCACTGCAGAGGCTGTGGGCAGCCTCGCAGCCCCGCGCTCAACTGCTACGCCACCAGGGGAGGCCCAACAGGACAAGTTTTTGAGAATGGTTGGATGTGTACTAGACCAAAGGTTCCCACATGATGAACCTCAATGTCTCAGCAATTTTCCTATGGTGTTCCTAGGCCAAAAGAAATACCTAACAGATTTATGTATTATAGTAGTTAGGGCCAAACAAATTCATTATTTGTGCTGATAACTTAAGAGCTGTTTGAGAAAATATTATACATTAATTAAAAAAAAAGATATATCAATTTCATTCTTAAATAACCAACAGTTATTAAATGTGTGTACCTGTTTGACATTACACAATACTCCAAACTCTGGATTCAAATAGGATACTACCACCCTCATTTCCTGTTTAATTTTGATTTTCACATGGCACTTGCTTTTTATCACTGTAATCACTGAAAAATCCAACTTTGTAAAGATGACTGTCAACAAAAATATATGCTCTAAGGTTGAAATTATAAAAACTCGTGACTTAGTAGTTCATACTATGTCCAAGAGACATTGGGAATCTCTGCGTTTTTCTCAGAAATTTAAAATAGTTCACAGTCAGCATGTGAGTATGCTGTGTTGACCAGGGCATCCAAGCACACAGTTTGGGAACCATGATCCTAGATGACTTGTGGAAAACTAATTTTAAAGGACAGGGCAAAAGAGATATAGTTCTACTGCAGGGAGTGCCAAAAGGAAAGACCATTTAATAATGATGAAAACTCTCAAAAATGTAATTTTATGTGATCTGGGAATGGAAGGAAAAAACTTAAAGAGCCAAGACTTAAGAAAAATATTTACTAATAATTGAAAGTGTGTATATTGTGAGGGGGAGAGAGGAGAGAGACATAATATTAAAAACAAACTTAAGAGGGTGCATAGATACGTAATGGCAGCAGAGCTGGAAAAGTTGATGTCCCCAGTAAGGCAAGCTTGGCAGAAAACGCTAAATATAGCTAAAAGGGAATTTAAATTTTAGAATAAGAAAATTATTTTTTAGAGCAAGCATGGTTAGGCCAAACATTTAGACTGCTGTGGTCGTTTATCAGAGAAAAATATGAATTTGAGAAAAAATATGAGATCGGAGAAAAATATGAATTTCTGATTGCTTCTGTCTCCCTTGATGAGGACAACCATGTTCAGATTAAAAAGTATAGTAGCACAAAGGCAAGTACAGTCAGGAGAGCCTGGATTTGCTGCAGTAATTAGCAACTCCCCAAAAATATGAGACTTAAATAGCAAAGGTGTAATTCTCACTCACCTTTATTCCTTTACAGGTCCAACAGACTCTCTAGGCAGCTGTCTTTTGAATACTGGTTCAACATTCCAGGATCCTTTGGTCTTGTGGCACTGTGACATTGGCAGATTTCTATGCAGGGCAAGAGGGGAATAGCTATTAACTTTTTCCACACAGAAGCGATTGTCTTTACTTTCTCTCATATTTTATTGGCCAGGGAGCTGGACGGAGCAATGTTCTTAAGCATGTGGAAGAAGAGGAGACATAGAAATATCAGTGGTCAGCAATAATGTCATTGTAAGATGCCTTTACCTCCTTTCTACAAACCTACCTTTCCTGACACTGGAAACAAGTTTTCAGGTCATGTACAACCAAGAGCTATAGTAAACAGAGGGTTCTAATTCCACTTTTTTAATTCTGGGTGGACAGAAACTCTCCTGGACTATCTCAATGGTTTGATTGCTCCCCTGCCTCACCCCCGGTCATCATGGTCAACAGGGGTAGAAGCAAGACAGGGCAGGATCTTTGTTTGGGGAGTGTGGTTTTGGGGGGATTAAACAAAAGAACACATGGCCAGGTTCTGGGGAAGAGAGCAAGTTATTATTTTCTGTTGATGGAAATTTAAGGGTTCTGTATCTTGGCCAAACAAAGGAAACTGCTGTATTGCTTGGCTGGCCCTTTAGCTGCTTTATGGGTAAGTTGAAAAGCCAAGTTTATGGATAGTCTCTTTAGAGTTATAATAAATACTAACAATCCCTTAACACTAGCCACTGGAAGATACTTTTATGACTATGAACAGTGAAGAACATTTGCAGCTCTGCAAATCTCTCTCTGATCTCTCTGATCACTAGTTCCTAAAAAGCACAGCGCAATCCCCACTGTGCCTGACTTCACACCCTGCAGTGGTGTGAATCCTGGAGTGCATGAGACTTTGAATGAGGCTCTAGATCAATGAGGGGGCTCGGGCTTCCTCTTCAGCAGTGACTTGAAAGGGCATAATCTCTAGGTACCCTAGAACTGGACTCATGGAGTATTTGAGCTTCTAGGAGATCAATACCAACACTTTAATTTCTGGAATAATATGCTGATATGTGTCACTGCTCTTATAATAGCAACAGCAGGAGTTCCACTCAGGGTAAAAACTCCAACTAAAGTTGAAGTCTCCTGCCTTAAACAGATATTTTTTCCAGTGTGAAAAAAGATGCAATTGGCAAAAGGCTTTCTTTCTACTTTTCTCTAAGCTGTTCTTTATGTATAGCCCACCAACTTGCAGATCAGAAGGGTAAAAGATTTGCTGTAGTTCTGAAATCATTCAGGACTGAATTATAATTCCCAGATGAGACTGAAAAACGGAATCCTCTGCAGTCTCAGTCATGAACTTCCACTCAGCTGTCTGTGCTTCTTTGACAGTTTTCTAAGAGTCCTCATGGTCAGCGCTGTGGGGGTTTTGGTGCATACATTTCTTGGAAGTGACACAAGAGCATGGGATTATTTTTATAAGTACTGACACCAAGAGTTAGAACAGATAATCCTCCCTGGTGCAACTGTACAGCTTAGAGGAAGCACATTTATGGGGTAGAGAAGTCTTGAAAAAAAAATTGGTCCCTTCTTCCAAATAAATGATGTGGACTTAACTTCCAGCAGCCAAAAGCCATAAACAGAAGAGTTGGAAAAGAATTCTGGAATAAAATGTTGAATCAGAAGATGTATAAGAAACAAGAATGGAAAGAATAATAAATATGTTGCAGGGGAAAAGTGTGTCAGGGACTACAGAGAGCTGCCAAGGCTTTAAGCCTCGAGCAAGTCAGTCTCATTTGGGGGATATTTGTATTAAATTCAAACAGCTTTCAGAGAGAGCTCTAGAGGGCAGCAAAGACATGGTTTCCTTAATGAAGAAATGGTACTTGATGAAAAGCTGCATGGTACCCACAGCTTTTGCTAACTATGCCAGTTCTTTTGGATTGAAGTCTGGTTTCAAATAGTTAAGATTATTATAGTAGCAGAATTGTGGGGCTTTAAAGGTTATAGTGTTGTCAAATTGGTTCAATCCTCATCATATAAGAGGAACTAGTCCTGAGGGGTTAAGTGATTTACCTAAGGTCATCTAGACAATGCAGTTAACACACACACACCCACCCACACACACACACACACATACACACACACACACCCCACAAACATGCTTTCTCACATTCAATAGAGGTTTTAAAATAGCCAATTTTTTTTTTTCATCCTAAAATCACTCAATCATTATGAAGGCTTGAGTTCAAACGTATTCATGTGCTTTGAAAAAAAGGGTTGATTGCAGTTTTAAGCCCAAATCTGGTGGTTTTTAAGTGGTATAATTGAACCTGGACAGAGATTTCTCCACAGAGCCAGATAAATTTATAGGTCTTTAGTCAATTCTTCCAGGATTTGGGCTCTAGGTGGCAACATAGGACCTTTGTTTTGCTTTCCAGGCGTATCAGCAATCTGGACAAATTTTTCAGGAAGAAACCTTATTACTGTGGTTCTTCTTGACCCTGGTGGGCTAACAGCATTTTCTACTAGCTAAGCTAATGATCAAGGTCCAAATGCTCACTTTTCAGATGCTGCAATTATTTTCACTGTAATCCTCTGACAGTGACTGTTACTTAACAGGTTTTACTCTGTTATGTCATGTTTGACAGGGTCATATCTAGAAAAAAGAGTAAAAAAGAGTAATTTTATTGATTTTTAAACGTCACAGCACTTATGTGGCTGCTGCCCTGCTCTTCACTGGTCACTCCTGACTTCTCCCAATGTCCCCAGCCCAGTCACGCTGTGCTCTACCACCTCCCTACCTCCACCCCTGCCCCAATGTCCCCACCCAGTATTTTAATTCAGTGAAATTCGCTTTAAATGAGCACAAAGGACCACATAGGATGCACATTAGGATTGTCCGATAAGGTGGGAAATAGAGGGTGGCAATTGTGTATTTGTTTTCTGGATCCATAACATCTTTAGACCAGGGGTTCTTAAAAAATGGTCCAAGAACCATGGGGTGGGTGGTGCTTGTGAAAATGCAGAATTCTGGGCCACGCTTGGGACCTGCTGGGTCACAATCTCCGGGGTGGGGTGGGGGGGGTGTCCTGGAACTCATCTGTTAGCTCCTAAATAGGCTGTTCTGTGACCCACCACTGCAAGGAAGCTGCAGATTTTTTTGGATCTGCTGGTGGCGCCATTTCCACCTCCCTCACTGCCTCTGATTTACTGACCTGGTCCCTGATTTCCAGTGCTAAACTCTGGGATGTAAAGCCCATGAATAAAGACAGCACCTATTACCCAAAGCCTGCTTTTCTGTCCTCGCCCCCTAAGCTGACCAATCCTGACCACATAGTCCCCAAGGACATGAGTAGAAAGACTATATGAGGTGGAAAGAACATGAACTTTGCAGTCATAGAGACCAGGGATTGAACCTTACATCAATTTTCAAGTCATTTACTCTGCAAGCTCTTCTGTTTGTTTCATCAATTAACTATAACCAAACCATTTGGTTGGGCCTCCCGGGTGGCGCAGCAGTTGAGCCCTGGGATGCGAAGCTGCCTGCAGCCTCTGCAGCGCAGGTTTGATCCCCGGCCGCTGGGCGAGGGTCCCACATGGCACGCAGACCTCTCCTGCCGCCAGCTGCTCCCCTCAGCAGTGTTCTTCGGTCCTTCTGCCTGTTCTGCTCCCCGCTCTGGTGAATTCTCTCACCCTCCTGTGCTTCTGACTGTACCCAGTGCTTGTATAAATAAATAAATCTTAAAAAAATAAAATAAAAGCCTTAAGAGAACAAGCATGATTTAAAAAAAAATCTTTAAAACCCCAAATAGCCAAAGCTCTCCTGAAAAAAAAAAAAAGAAGGGAATGGAGGCATCACACTCCCAGACTTCACACTATACTACAAAGCCATAATCATCAAAACTGCATGGTATTGGAACAAGAACAGACACACAGACCAATGGAATAGAATAGAAAATCCAGAAATAAACCCACAGATTTATGGTCAACTAATCTTTGACAAAGGAGCAAAGACTATGCATTGGAGCAAAGAAAGTTTGTTCAACAAATGGTGCTGGGAAAACTGGGTCACTACATGCACAAGAATGAAGCTTGACTACTACCTAACACCATGCACAAAAACCAACTCAAAATGGATTAAAGAACTAGACATAGACTTGAAACCATAAAATACATAGAGGGAAATATAGGCGAAACACTCCATGATATGCACATCTAAGACATCTTTACAGACACATCACCCAAAGCAGTGATAGTGAAGGCAAAGATAAACAGCTGGGACTACATCAAATTAAAGAGCTTCTGCACAGCAAAAGAGACAATAACAAAAACAAAGAGAAACCCCACCAACTGGGAGAACATTTTTGCACACAACACTAATGATAAAGGACTGATCACAAAAATCTACAAAGAGCTGATGAGACTCAACAAAAACAAAGAAAATAATCCAGTCAAAAAATGGGCAGAAGAGCTAAAAAGAAACTTCTCTGAAGAGGAAATGCATATGGCCATCAGGTATATGAAAAAATGTTCAGTATCACTTGTAATCAGGGAAATGCAAATCAAAACTACCATGAGATACCATCTTACACCAGTGAGAATGGCACATATTAAAAAAACTAGCAACAACAAATGTTGGCGAGGGTGTGGAGAAAAAGGAACTCTCCTGCACTGCTGGTGGGAGTGCAAACTGGTCCAACCACTATGGAGAGCTGTGTGGAGATTTCTGGACCTACTAAACAGAGTTTCCATATGATCCAGCAATCCCACTCCTAGGTATTTACCCAAAGGACACAGAAACATCCATTCCAAAGAGCACCTGCACCCCTATGTTTATAGCAGCACTATTTACAATAGCTAAGCTTTGGAAACAGCCCAAATGCCCAAAAATAGATGACTGGATCAAGAAGATGTGGTACATATACACCATGGATTATTACTCAGCATTCAAAAAAGATAAACACATGCAATTTGCAGCAACATGGATGGAGCTGGAAGGGATCCTGCTCAGCGAAATAAGCCAGAAAGAAAAAGAAAAATACCGGATGGTCTCACTCATAGCAGGAATCTAGAAAACTTCAATAAGGGACCAGGAAAAAGAATAACTATAA